TGAGTAAATAATATACTAACCAGTTGTAAATTTCCTCCTGACAAAAATCATGTGAGAGAGTTGAGCCAGGGTATTATCAGTGAAATGAACTTGTCAGTGAATTAATTGTCGGTAAAAATAATCTTGTCGGTAAATTAGTTGTTTACAAACTAAGTTGCCAGTAAAGTAATTGTCGATGAAATGAACGGAACTAATTTTTTTTTTATAATAAAAATGTGTGCAGGGGATTTTTGATTAGAGATAATTGTTTTTTTTTATTATAAAAATATATTCTGGGGAGGCTTTGAGAGTGAATTTTTTTTTTAAATACTACAAGTTACAAGTATCATAAGGTGTGGTCCAAATGACCCAAGTTAATCTGCATGTATATATAGTATAGTCAGATGAATACTATGGTTAAGTAGGGTTACAAGTTGCACTATATAAGTGTCATCGAGAGAAACCTGTCATTGAACTCTCAATTACATTTTAGGCCTCTAAAAATTGTGAGGACATTATAATAGAGAGGTCTTGTGGAACACGCTATACGGTTCTATAGTTTGTCATAATTACAGTTTTGAGCAGGCCAATAAAACAGATAAATTCTAGCGCCAGCATACTTATCATGCATTATGGCATCATAAATCTGCTCACGCCATTGATTAATTCCCTTCCCACACTTATGTAATATAATCGATTGATAAAAATGAACAGGACACTCATGATAATTATGACGCACTTCGTTTGAACTGCGCTGATACCGAATTTTCTTCATATCCCGTACATTTCTCAAAGTTATGAAACTCAAAGTTTTATCGTTACCGTTACGCTAAAAATTTAGGTGACAAAGTGGTGGCAGAAAAAATTCGTGATCAGGTGATCGCCGATGCTTCCGAACCCTTCGATGCAGCCCAAAAACTTTGTACAAAATTTATCGTTATTATTAGGCATTTTTTCAAAAACCGAATATTAGATATTAATATTAATATATGTACTACATTCGGTTCTTTGAAAAAATGCATAAATTTTGTACAAAGTTTTCGGGCTGCATCGAAGGAGTTCGGAAGCATCGGTGATCACCTGATCGCGAATTTTTTCTGCCACCAAAAATTTAAAGAGGAAAACATTGAATTTCCTATGATATGTAATATATACCTTTTTGATTTAAATGCTCACCTCATTTGTACATGAATAAAATAATTGGTAAAATGAAGAAATAACGCAAAAAGTAAGATAATTTCTATCAATTTGAAATCAATAAACAACGTATGTACAGTACATATGTTGTTTTGGAATCGGTATAAGCTTTACCAGTGTACAAAATTTCTGAATGATTTATTCTGCTTTATTTATGCCAAATTTTTCATCTGGAGCTTAGAAAGCACAATCAGAAGTAGTAATATCAAACAATTAATGATAATATATTACATGTATAAAGAATAAAATTTCTGACCCTATAAACACTTAGATAATTAGTGTTTTCTCAATTACATTATTAGTCTAGTATTAAAGATGGATTTAGAAGCGATCATTAAATTATCTTTCGTAAATATAGAGAAAAAACTCTGAGGTGCCAAATAGCGTACAAGATTGGTCTTTCGGCTCTTTAAAATTTTTTACGCTATGCTTCTGTTCCTGCTCATGCTCTGAAGACATAATTATGTGGTAGATCGAGAGAGCAAATTATTTATATGTTATGTAAAATGGTTTACAATATTTCCTGTTTAACTCACCTATAAATCAGGCATACTATGTATCATCATAAACCACAAAAATTGTTCTCTCCCATGATTTTTGACCAATCAAATTTCAAGATCACGAGTAACGTAAACAAACGAAGCGAAACCATTTTTTTACAAAAAAATTAGAAATAACTCGAAACTTTAATTAAGTAACCACCTTCGCCCTATTTAAAATGCACGTCGTGAAATTTTACTAATTGAAACTCTATCGTCCTAACCCTAACATTAACCTAACCCAAACTACAACGTTTTATTCTCAGTATAAACTACAGGAGGGGACAATTTTTGTGGGTATGCAAAATAGATTTTGACAAGTTGCACTATTTTTCAAAAACGGCCATTAGGATAAGTTTACCAGATACGTACGCGGTATTACAATAATGGATTGAAACAATGATAAATTTTTTAATTTTAAGTTGAAGATGATCAATGCTAGAAATAATGATTATGCTTAGTTAAACGCAAAAAGAAAGTGGCAGTGCTATTGATAAATGATACAGGACAGGTTGAGGCGTCGAACTGAATAATTGTAGTATTGAATATTAATACGTATTCTATCGACGTTCTTTCAAGTTTTCGATGATCTTAACTAATAATTATTAACGTTGATCGAACCGATCAAAAAAAAAGGATGATCATTTCCTTCGAACTAACCACATTAACAAATATCGAAATACGATAGTTGACGATTCGATATACGAGTTGGTGACGAACAGTTTAGTGATTGGTGCGAGAGCCAAAAAGATGAAAAGATCTACGGGTTGATGAGTTAAATGAAAAATTGTAGTAATAGAGAAGAATATATATCTCAGATCAGTATTGTTGATTAGGGACAAATGAAGATTATACGCGTAAATTAAATTAACTTTATTAACTTTTTTTATTTCGCATTAAGGCTTATACAGTATAGTTTAACAGATTTAGTATGTTATAAATGTTCGAATTACTGTGTATTTCTTCGAATCTTGTCTAAATAATTCTCGGGTTCCTATTTATTCTCTGAGTTGAATTCTCACTCTTATTTACTTGATTTGTTGGAATATTTATTTGGTTCAGTTCTTAGATAATCTGTTGTTTCTGCTATCGCACAATTATTTAAATGATCTAATAAATCCCTATTGCCATTTAAAATCTCTAAATCTTTCTTGCTATTTAATCGACTCCTTGTGTCTATCTAAACTTATAATACGTAATATATGTTTTACTTTCTTAAGTGAATCGGTATCATTTTGACTTGCTCACAAATTATATAGTAACAGTTCTCCGCTTCGATTCGGAATTCACTAAAAATGTTTCTTAAACATAATGATTTAGCTAAAAACCTTTTGCTATCTTATTGTTTTATTTACTTATTATGTAATTTTACTGTTAATGGATATAATATTATTTATTCGAGCAGCAAAAATGATCTGCAATATAAAAACTTTGACGTAAATTCAAGTCATGATGGAGCACTTGTAATAAAAATCTTTGACGATCATAACAGCAATAACTATAAAGGAATTCATACACTTTTACCAAATGGATCTACCACATATATAGACCTTGATTTTGCGAATAAAAGTATCAATATTGATCGTATATTCCCTTTAACTATGAGCCTTTATTTTCTACTTTATGATGATGTTGTTGATGGCAGCAAGCAGGTCACTGGAATGTTAATAGATTGGAATAATCATATTATAAAAGAGTTTGTATCGAATTATTATATCTTTAAATTTTTTCTATCATAATTTATTTATAAATACTAATCAATTATTTGTATTTTTAATAGAAATCTTTTTATAATAAATGGGTCCATTACAAATTATACGAATTTAAATATTATTTTAGACACGCGGTTGTCATCTTTTTTAATCTATAATCAATTTGAAAATAGCGTTAATTGGATTTTATATAATTTACTGTAAGTGATTTTCATGAAATTATTCAGTTGAAATACTGTTGTTCAACAAAAATATTCTGATCATAAAATGCTCAAATTTGGATATTATTTAATTTTAAAATAATTTTAGACAAGATAATATTAATTTTATTGCTAAAGATTCTTTTACACTTTCGATTAATTCGACTCTTCAGTCTGTATTTTCAATGATTGATGGAAATTATGGGTTTGTTACAACAGAAGCATTATCTGTTAATTATAGCACGTTAAATACATCTGTATCAACAATCTATTTACATTATAGTCTTTTATCACTCTCAACTCTCAGTATTTCTGAAAAATTTTTACTTTATTCAGCGAAAAATGTTAACAATATAGTATTTATTTCTTGTTCATCAAGTTACAGTGAAGATGGAAATATATGCATGATGACATTAGACGAAAATTTTACGAAACAAATTATTACAACATATCAAATTGTTTTCTTGTCATCTGGCTCTGTTACTAAATTAAATATACGATATATTAACATTAATATAGAATCATATTATATTTTACCTTTATTTTATGGTGGATCAATTATAACTAGTTGGTCCACTACAGCATCCACTACAGCATCCACAGATCCTCCTGAGAATCCTAATATTAATTTAAATTTTGAAATTGTTTCTGATAATGCTCTTCGTAATTTGAGTGGGCATATTATTCCACTTAATAACAATGACAGTGAATATGAATGGGATTTAAATCCGATCGCAACATTTTCAAAAGCAATGTTTGACATAATGATGAATAATACTTACATATTATATGTAGCATATAATGATAGTAGTTGGGACATTTTCAGCAAGAATGTGGAAAAATTCAGAAATGACTGTAAGTAAATTAAATTAATATATTTGCATATACTCAAATCTTTATATAACTCATTAATTTTGCGTGCAAAACTCTAGCTGGTTATGAAAATCCGAATGTTATTTCAACTTATCCAAAAATTAAAGATACTATCTCACCACGTATAAGTTCTATAAGTCTAACACTTTCAAATCAGATCTCTAAATCATCGAAAAAGCTCTATATTTATCAAATTAATACAACTACTAACCAATACCAGTTTAGACAATTTTATTCTGGAAATTCCGAAAATTGCACAGTTCAAAATAATACAATTTTATGTGATATTTCACAAAGTATTATTAATCGATGGAATTCTTCTTATGCAATTGTGGTGGACAATAATTTTATAAAATTTGCTTCAACGGATGAACCTATTTATGGTATTGCAGAAAAAATATGGACATTTAATACTAGTTCACGTAAGTTAATTTAACTAATAACTTATATGATGAATGAATTTACAATTACTGTAATGTGCAAACTTTTTTTTTTTTTTGTATAGAAACAAGCCCAGAGACATATTCAGGTATTATTACAATATTAATTTTATTTATAATTATTGATATATCGATATAGAATGCTTATATTTATTATTTATCAAGGTTCAGCTACGGTTATTGTACGCTTAACCCATGAAGGAACTGGAGTTTATGATTCTCTTTCAGAATCTGAAAAATCTATATTTTTAAATAGTTTATTAAATGAACTAATTGAAAGCATTCCTACTACTCCTGGAAGATTATTATTAACAAATCGAATACAATATGATCCATCAACATCTCCTGCACAATATTTATTGCAAATTGAAATTTCGGGATCATCTGATCTTTATCAAGTATCCGTACCTCATATAATCAATGATATGGAATCATTGATAATAAATAAAGATACTTCAATAATGTCATTTAATAATCATACAAAGTATTTAGATTCTTCGTATGGAGTTAAAATAAATAGTAAGTTATTTAAAATTATATTAAAATATTTTAGAACCATTTTATAAAGTAATTTAATCTTATATAATTTTTAAGTAAATTTTTGGGATGAAATAAAATACAAATTACTTGGAGCATCAATTGGATTACTTATTTTAAGTATGATTGCTCTATGGGCCCGTTATACATATAAAAAGGTAAAATTAATTTTATATTAATTTTATATTAATACTTTGCAATTATTCTTGCATGAACTAAATATTAAGTTTCTTATTTGTTATATATAACCTTATATAGGGACAAAGCTTTATGATATTTTCTGTGGCATTTATGCTATTTGATTCAGTTTTGGATATTTTATTTATTGTGAAAAATGGAAAAGACGTTCCTTCACTATATTTGCCCAGGTGCGATTATATAAAATTTATTATAAATTAATGCATAAATTAATTATTAACAAATACTAATTCTAAGCACTTTTATAAATTTAGCATTATTATATTATGTTTTGCAATATTGACTAATTTATCTGCTGCAATTCTATTCATAAGTTATGAATTAAAATATAATAAGTTATTTGCTAAATGGATTTATAAATATATAAATATTGTTCCGATATTTGTTATACTTTCAGGATCGAATGTAATGATATTGGATTTTTTAACTTCAAATTTTGGTGGATTTGAATTATTTGATGCTCCATTTTTGGATTGTACTAGAATTTGGATCTTTTGGGGTTCTATTGCTAAAACTATTATAGAAAATATTCCTCAGTTTATTATACAGGTTTGTAAATATAAATTTTTATAAAATAAGAATAGTTTAATAAATTTATTAAATTATAAAAAATTTTTATATTGTAGATTTTATACTTTCAAAATACGGTCAAATATGAGGCTATTCCATTTTTAACATTAGTAACCGGATCTATTGTTTTGTTAAATGATATTATTTTAAAATTATTTAAATTTATTAATAAGGCCGTTTGAAGTTAAGCACCTCTTAAATTAAACTATTAAAATGGCCATTGACTGTCGGGCGTGACCAGTTGCATGTGGATACAATTTCCGGGGTACAAAATACAGGGTTAAAGATAATCGATGAGATAACTCTATGTAATTTAGAAGTCAATTATGACATACTATAATGTAATAAGTAAGTTATTGTATTGAATCAATGATGTAATCGTACATGGCAAGTAAGGTTCGATTTGTAAGATTGAATCACATTTTAAATTTTTAAATGTGTTGGTTATGAAGGACGTTTGAGAAGAGAAAATTTGGTGAAATTGCTAGTGATGAAGGAGAAATTAAAATAGGTGCACTAATGAATAAAATAAATACAAACTATTGAGCGGAGTTAGTAATAATAGTATCCTGAACCGTTGAGACGAAGTTTCCGCTTATTCATATATGGTCAGGATATTATTAATTAATCCTCCTGTGAACTTGATATAGTGATCAGGGGATTATGTATATAATACATTCATTAAAACCTTGTTAACAACGACAATCTCTAATTACCAACCATAATTAGTTAGAAACCTAAAATTGCACATATACTTAAATTGATCAAATTAATAACTTTTTTTTGTATCCGTAATAAGAAATAGTAAACCAGTTCTTTTTGCTGTACTATTCGAAATTGATGAAAGTTTAACTTTTGAAGATTTATTTTATCATGCAGACAGTGACTGTTTCTGAGGGAGCTGTTAGAGTTGATATTTAAGTTTGAGATACAAATGGTAGCATCTGGCTTAAATGGAAATTTAAGAATGTGTATTCATGAAGGACAAACTTATCACACATTAAACTTACAATTCAAAATGAACAGTTAATATTTACTGCAAGTTAAGTTTTCTCTACATCTAAATGTTTTTAATGAGATAATGAATATGGCAGCTAAAAAAGGTTTGCTTAATTTAAAGCTATCAACAAATAATAATGATCAATTGTATAATGATGTTTTAGAGCTTTTACATAGTAAGAATCTTAGTTGGGAACATGGAACACAAAATTCAATTGGTATATCATTTATTAATGAACTTGTATCTCTCCTTTATTATTTGGATAATAAGCACAAAGCTCTTAAATTATGTAGTCTTAAAATACCATCAGTATTTCTTCAATTACTATTAAATTAGCAAATTTTATATTATAAAAATGGAACACATCATAAAACTATAAGTCTGTGCTGATAAACTAGTAGAATATGTTTTACAACCATGGCAAGCAAATCTTGTTGGAATGAGACTAAAGTTGCAACTTTATAGCTACAGTTATTAGCTTGTATATATGCTAATTATTTAGAGTCAGTTAACTAACATGTTTAGAGAATTCAATCAGTATCTATACCAGCTTGAAGTTCTGAAGAAAATAGTAAGCTTGAATTGCAATCTTCATGTGCAATAAATACGTACTATACAAAAAATTTATTTTCAAATTGCTAAATGAATTAGAGTAGCAAATGAATATGAAATTATATCACTTGAAGAATTCTTGCCTGAAACTAAAAAGAAATGATTTTACTATTTATTAAATTTTGCTATTGATTCAACAATCATATCATATTATTAATACTATTATTATGAAATTACTTAGGAACATTAAATTTATTTAGAAAATTTCTAAAATTTGAATTACAAGATGTTACGTAATACTTATATAGAGAACATATTCTTCAAGTATTATGTTTTCAATTTTTTTTTTATAGAGAACATTTACAGAATATCAAATATTCTCGAATCTAAAGATTTTTAACAATCATTACAACTGTTGTGTACAATAATAATGATCAATTTATTAATTAACTTATCATGCGTATTTGTAATTTAGTGTAGCAGAAAACTTAAATTTTACTAATTACATATGCACATACGTAAGTAGTATAATCCATTCATTAAACAAAAAAATATCTGATTGATATACTTGATTGGTTAATATTGCCTAATGCCAGCCTATCTCCGATACATTTCATCTGGAATTTTGTGATTGCTCATAAAAATCTGTATCATAGTATAAGAAGCTTATTGAAATTTATTGATAAAGACAGAGAGGATATAGTAACAAAATTTTTCTACAAGTAAGGGAAGTGTCATTTATCAGCTGATTTTTTGTAAATAGTAAAATTCCCCCCTTCCCCCAAACCCTATTAAAACTCGATACACAGAAATGCATGCATAAATATGAAATTTTATGCGGATAAGCACAGGTTTCAGTATCACTGCACAGAAACTGCACGGAAACTGATCATCCAAAAAATTTAATACACATTATCATACGAAAAATTGAAATTTGTGCATTATTATGCACAGTATCATATCCATATATTGACGTGTATTAATCTTAGTGACCACATAATTTCCATGCACTAACATGCACAATCGTTAAGATTCTTAATTATTGTGCATATTAGTGTGCAGAAGTCAAGAATCTTAACAATTGTGCATGTCAGTACATGAAAATAATGATTGTTAAGAATCTTAACGATTGTGATCAGTGCACTGAAATTATGATCATTAATATTATTAATGATCATAAATTCAGTGCAACGTGATGATCATGACGTCATTGCACTGAAATTATGATTATTAATATTATTAATAATCATAATTTCTGTGCAACATGATGATCATTAAGATTCTTAACAATCATAATTTCTGTGCATTGACGCACACAAAAACACTCATTCTGTGAGTAAATAAATATTTATTTTTGTTTTTTTTTGTTTTTTGTTTTACTTCTTTATTTTTTTATTTTTTTTTACAACTCACAAATTTTATATTGTTTTTGAAGTTATCCTTTAGAGTCAGTCACTTGGAAATTGCTCTTTTGGAATCAATATCATTTTTGGTCTATATTTTTCATGGTTTTGTTTTTTGTTTTATTTTTTTTAGTTTTTTTTTTTATTTGCTTTCTGTATATTACTGCATTTTGCTTCTATTTTTTAGTATCTTCTTTGAGTTACTGGAGTTAGCACTATTGGAGTTATTGCTAAGTAGTTGTTTTGATTTTTTTTTTTTTGAAACTTTCATTTTTGTACTATCATTTTGCTTTTTTTTTATTTATTATATTTCCCTTTAGGCATAGTTAACATAAATTTTAGGTTTGGTTTTATTATCTTTCATTTTGGCAATATTGTTTTACTTTTTTTTTTTTGATGTTATTAATAGTCTTAGTAATTAGAATATTTTCTTTATTCAGAATGTAAATTATTAAATTAAAATATGTATTTGTATTATAAAATTTTAGTTAATAAAATAATAAAATTTACTTAATAAAATTTAGTTAATAAAATTTATAAATTAGTTAATAAATAATAAATTTAAATATATATACAAATATATGTTATTATGTATATATATATGGATATATGTTATTATATATTACCTGCACATAAATATATATGAGACAATGCATAGGAAAAATACAAATAAATTATAAAAGTTGTAATAACAAAAGTTGTCATTCATTATTAAACTACAACTTCTATTAAGGAATTATAGGTTTAAAATTAATATTTAAAAAATTTTCAAATGAATGTAAATTTTTTTTAATTAAAAATTTTTTAAATTTTGTATATTTTTAGCCTATAAGTAAGTTAAATTTTTTATCTTGTAGTTTGAATATAAATTTTGCAAAAACATAATCTTTACTTTTAATTTTTATTTAAAAAAAATCTGTTGAATTTTTTAAAAAATAGATTAGAAGTATTTTTATAGTAAAATTCAGAGCAAATTTGCTCTGAATTTCAAATGGTTTAAGGGATAGATAGCAAATAAGCTATTAGCATCTATGTTTAATGCTGAAGATGTTTATTGGCTTAATCCAGCTTGTATATTTAGGTTTTGAAAAGCCAATTACAGAAATTTTATAATTGAAGATCTGAAAACAATGTATGTATGTACCTCTTATTAATTTTTATTATTTGTGCTAATTTATTAATAAAAAGTCTTTTATTGATTTAGTCAATAGGCGTAGTAATTTTTAATTGATATCAATATCAGATATACAGAAATATGTGGAATAATTATAATTGTGCTAATTTACTTAATTGATAAATTATATCTTAAGTTACTTATTAAAATTGATACAATTGTATGTTTTAAATTTTAGTCTTATACAAACATAAATGTAGAAGCCAGTGGCGCCCTTACTTACACTTGCTTCTGTTTCTCATATTTTATTAGCTTCTTACCCTTTGCAGTTTCATCAGTTTCCTCACCTTTCGTCAGTTTCGTCACCTTTCGTCAGTTTCATCACCTTTTACCAGTTTCGTCACCTTTCGTCATTTCGTTATTTAAGATTTTAGTTGACGAAAGATGAAACTAGGTTTTACAAAGGTTTTGTCTAACAACTATAGATGGGTTCGACTATGAATGGCTACAATCATTCATAGCAAATTTTTTAAATACTGAGATAATTTTTTGTACTTAAGCTTTTAATTAAAGTTGTTCAGAATTAAATTCTGGACATCCCGTATTATAAGTAGAAAAAACAATACCTTCTCTGGAACTCAGAATTTTAGATTTGTTAATGTTATAGCAGCTACTAGCCACCGGCTAATAGTCAGCTATAACGTTACAAAACATAAAATTCTGAGTTCCAGAGAAGGTATCGTTCTTTTTACTTATAATATGGAATGTTTAGAATTTAATTCTGAACAACTTTAATTAAAAGCTCAAGAACAAAAAATCATCTCAGTATTTAAAAAATTGGCTATGAATAATTATATCTATTCGTAGTTGAACCTATCTCTAGAGGGATAGCTGGACATAATGTCGAGCAGAAAATTCAAACTGCAAAGAAAACAACAGATCATTAGGTTACTCAAATACTATTTCGTCCTGAACAGGTCTCGTGACATATTTGTCACATGGAAAGTCCAGTGACTCGCAATAATGTACCGCCTTTTAATTAATTTTATAATAATCAATCTTAGAGTAATACTTGCTGAAAAAAAATACAACCCAGTTTGTAAGTCTTTTAGATGTAACCACATTCAACCCACAAAAGGTTTTTATATAGAATTATAGAGTATGTAAGAGAAGAAATTAATAAATTCAAGGACTTAATCAAAATGATTTACTTGTTAAGTTTATCGAATTATTAACTGTCACAGATTAAAATGAAATGAGTGTTTCTATTTAACTCTCTAAAACCAACTTGTTTATTATAAACACTAACCACTTACTCTAAAAATGCACTTTAAAAATTTATATTTTGTCTATTTTTTACATTATATAACATTTCATTTAATCCGGCACTAATACTATAATTTATGTGCTGCGTATTATTAACAGAAGCAGAACATAAAAGTTTTTTAAAAAAGTTAAAATTATATTTGAATTTTGCTAATGTGAAACTTTTAAATTTCGCTTAATATTGTGGAAGAAAGTTTTTTATCATTTGAAATACTCCGGTTTTTTAGAATTGGTTAGTATGTTCGGTATCTATTAAGAGTAGAATTTGAGGGGAATATAGAAATTTCATACTGTATATTAGAAAAAGTCGTACTATACTTTTTATTTAATTGTACATACAGTACAGTATACTCCTTATTATATAATATATAGAATATATAAATAAAAGATATATGGTACTGTATTTTTAAAAAATTGTACAGTACAGTACAAAGTTTGAGAAATTTTTTATTTGTTATTTGGATTTGTTTGCCATCAACTTTAGAAACTATTCATATACCATCTATTCATACTGCTCTTTTAATTTTCTGTATATTTTCAAATTTTTTAAATTAAATTTACACAATAGCCATATCATATTCTGTGGTCATAAATTGAGATTTTTTAATATAATCATCAATATCCTTATTATCACTTATCTATTTGTTGCCATTTTCAAAAGATTACATGGTGGCACCAAGCTAGAGAAATGTTATAACTTGCATTGCCAGATCTTCTTTTATAATAAAACTCATCAAATATGATCATATATTCATAAGTGGATGGGTTTTGTGTAAATCTAAATAATTTACAATTATTAGTGATGCTGTAGCAGTAAAAATCTGAACTTTGGGAAGTTTACTCTAAAGTAATCTATTTATAACAAATAAATATTAGAGAATGAATTTTTTTTTAAATATTAATTAAGTTATTTATTTTTATTTTTTGTACGAATTAAATATATTTGGCAAGCAAAGCAAAGAAGTTATTTTTATTGCAATAAAATCATTACATAAAAAAAATTAATTATATGTATTTATTTTAGCAAATATATTATAGAACTAATAATTAAACTAATAATACTGTTAATTATTATTATTAGGTTCAAAATTATATAATGATTTAAGTTGTTGGTGAAGTTTAATTTCTCTTTCAAGTTCATCGTTCAAATTCTTTTGAACTGTTAATTTTTTATAATCAATATTTAACTGTTGTTCCTGTTCATATGTTATAGAAGATTCATTAGAACTAGATTCTTTGTTATAGCAAGCTTTTTTTTAGGTTTTGTTGTAATTGGTGATTGTTTTGTATTTTGTTTTTCTAAAAAATAAAATTAAATTAATTCTAGATAGAAATATTAATATTATATAAAAATATACTTATGCTTTCTTTTAGCTGAATTTATTGTATGTTGCAATGAAGATTTATTATGATATGAATCATGTACATTAGTTTTTTCATAAGTTATTGCTGTACTCCATTGATGAGAATCAAAATTTGCAGATCTAAAAATAAAATTTTTATATATTTATCTATTTTAATAAAATAATAAAGCACTATATATTAAAGAATAATACCTTTGGATAGCAGCTACTAATGAAAGATTACGACCAGTTGTATTAATTGTTGCATGCACAAATTTACCTGCATTGGTTGTAAATAGTATATTAATCCAAATAATATATGCCATTTTGGTAAAAGCAGGTGACAATACGGCCAAAACCCAATTTTGTTTTTTATCTAAAACCCAATCTAAAAAAAATATATTAGTAATTTAAAAATATAAAATAATAATAATAATAATAATAATAATAACTTTTGACAATTTTAATTTCACAATTTTCAAAACTATTTAAGGTTTCTATTACTACATTTTGAGATTTTGCTCTTATAATCAAATACATTTTTTTTTGATTTCTTTTGGAATACCAGCTTTATTTCTAATATTTCTATAAATTATTTTTAATAAAAAATATATAATTTTAAAAAAATAATTTAGTTTAAAATTTTACCTTTTGAAATGTACATTACAAATTTTATAAATATATTCCAAATGTTCAGTTGGACTATTTTTGATTTAAATATTGACCAAGCCTATAAATTTAAATTTTAGAATAATAATATTTTATGAAAAAATATTAATTATAGCTAATTATTATAAACTAATCTAAAGCTTGGCCACGGTGTTCATCTGCAAGAATACACCCAATATCTTGATTATGAATATGATAAAACTTTATTGGTTTTTTAGTATCTTGCTCAATACATAAAAATAACTCTTCAAATAATCGTTGATATGCATTAGCAGTTTGTAAAATAGTAAATGTCTGTGCAAAAGTAAGAGCTAAAAAATTAATTAAAAATAATATTAATTTTAATTAAATTAAATAATTATAATAAAATAAAATTATACTTTTTTGATAAGTTTCACTATATGCACATATTTTCTATTCATTAATAGAACCATGAACTCGTTTAAATGACATATCTATTTCAATATATTTAGACTTTCTTAAACCTTCAATTTGTTGTTTATATTCACATAATACAAGATATTGACTATCATTAAGTAATCGTTAAATAAATTATTATTAATAAAATTATAATTTAAAATAAAAAATTAAATATTTTTAAATTTACTAACAGTTCTTATATAGGGATTTTCATCAATAGATTGTTTCATTAATAAATATGCAACACCATAAATATTTTGTCCATAAGGATGTTCAGCATGTTTTCTAGATGCTATTAATGCATCAAGTTTTGAAAGATTATTTAAAGATAGATGTAATTGAGGTAATGGAACTCCTTTTAAATATGAAATTAATGTAGGGCCTAATAAATAATAAAATATTAATTAATTAATTAATATTTTAAAAATAAATATTAAATTAAAAATACTTATGATTTAAAAGTTTATGTGCAGTAAGATCTAATATATCCTCATTATAAATTATATCTTTTAAATCATTTAAAATTGATTTAGGCATTTTAACTGGTGGTGGTGCTGGATGATTATTAATTCCTTTAGATAATATAATAATAAAAGGATATTCTTTAAGGTTTTTAGGTATATAATGCCAGAATTGAACAGGACATTTTAAATTAGGTTTTTGAATAATTTCATGAGTAATTTTATTATCTGTTGTTATATGTAAATATGCAATAAATTATAAATTACTATTAATTAATATTTATATATATATTAAAATAATATTATATATTTAATTATTTGACTTATGGCATTTTTTTTGTTGAGCACTAAAAGGAAGTATAGTATAACAATGTTGAATAGTATTAGACTAAAAAATAAATATTTATTAATATATTATATAATTTTATAATTTTATAAATATAAATAATAATATTAATTTATCAAACCTCATTATTAACTCCATTTTCATAATATGAATAATCTTGAAATAATTGTTTTAAATAATCAGTATTTGTTCTTTGTGATAATGATATATATTTATGTCCTTTTTTACCACGTTTATAATTTTAACACCCAATAAAATAATGTGGTGGTGAAGTATCTTCCTCATGCTATATAAAAATAATTTAATAATAATTATAATTATAATATATTTAAATATAATATATTTAAATAATATAATTAAATACCTGATAAAATTTTGCCAAAATTGGCTTTCTATTGCATCGTATTTGTACTAATTCATTATAATATTCACATGAAACTTTATGTGCAACAACAAATTTACTATAAATAAATAATAATTATATAATTATATAATTTATAAATTATATATATAATTTATATTAAATTAAAAAAAAACTTACTTCAAAGTAGCAGTATCAACAGATAGTTCATTAGCTTCGAAGATTTTTTCGAATAATTCATCATCAAAATTAACTACTGTATGTGAAGTATTTTTAAGCTCAGGTAAAATAAATTGACAGAATTTAACTCCATGACATGATCGAGTTTCTTTATAAACTTTAGTATTTAAAAAAGAGCAATGAACATTATCATGAGTTGTACCATCCTTATAAGAGTATTGAATATTTTTAAGATCAAATATTTCACATGCTTTTTTTGGATCCATGCCAGCTATATTATAGATGCAAGCAACTCCATCTGGAGCTGTTTCTGGATATTCCTCAAATTCTAATCGATAATTTACTTGTCCAGCAGTTTCTTTACTACCACGGCTTCCTAATTGAATAATTTCTGAAAATGACTATATTTATAAAATAAGATATATTAATTTATTTATTTATTTGCTAATATATTAAAATTTTTTTACTTACATCATCTATATTATCTGATTTATTAATGGTAGAAGAACTAGCACTAGAATTTGAAGAATGACTAGAATTTGGCAAATTATCAAAATTCCACTTTTTAAAATATTAATATATTTTAATTAATAATATTGACATAGCATTTAACAAAAACCAAATTTAATATTATTTTATAACTTACTGTTAATAAATTAGATTCTTGTAACTCATCCGATATATCAGTATTCCAACCATCGTCAGACTCATTAATAGTTTGTAACACTATTAAAAATAGTTTGATCGTCAATATATATGTTGTGCCTCAGACTAACGCTTGCCTCAGATCACAGTTGACGCACCTCCGATTCAGATCGTCAGGTGA